TTTTTTTTTTTTAGGTTAGATGAAATTGAATCGGTTCCTCAAGTTGTAGAATTGAAAAAACAGCTTGAAGACAGGGATTCTGCACTGACTGATGTGAGGCTTGATGCGTTAGACAAAGCGAGAGAAGTTGACATACTGAAGGAAACGATCAACCGGCTAAAGGCAAGCTCTAGTTCTAGATACTTATCTACCTTTGTTATTTTGCTACTCATTCATTTTGCTTAAGACTGAGAACAAGATTTTGAAACAAAATTACAATCTGCTGGAGAGACGTATCAGGAGTGAGAGTCGGGCAAGCTCCCAACAGTCCCTGCCAGCTTTGCCGGATGACGATCCTGTTTATGAACTACCGCCGACTAGTGACTCCCTTACAGTTGCGACAAACAGTAAGTATTGAGAAATACAGTTTTATTTATGTTGGTATCATATTGCGCTTTATCACTGAGTTATAGGAACCTCAAACAGCTGGAATGCTCCTTTGCTCAAGGTCACTGTTAGTGTAGATTACAGTGGCGTTTTCCCAGCTGCGAATTCGGCAGGCGAAATTTCCATTGGTGGTGTGCCTCTTCCAAACTATCAGACAACTTGGCAGCAGTTTGATGCGCAACTTTTCCGGCTGTTCAATGTAATTTTTTTCTAATATATACGATTTCTTTAAAGATAAATGTAGTTGCTTAATATTCAAAATGGAAAAGAAACATTCCAACAAGACTCTTTAATTAGTTCGCAACATTTATTTATTACAAAACAGGAATTTTTCAAGCAGTAGCAGTTTTATATAACTAAGAAGGCCTGGTGTTATTTTTTACAATGTCGTTACTTTTGTATCGTTAGGAGTACATTAACCGTATCGACCCGAATGGTGCTCTCGGTTTGCATCACAAGGATTCCGTAATCGGTTATGAATGTGGTGATTTTGTGCGTGATATACTTTCTAATTCTGCCCCTTCTCCGTTACCTGCAGATATTGTGACGCAAAATACCAACATACGAATGTATTTAAGAGGTATATTCTCTGCATTACCAATTCAGCTTTATCTGCTGAATTTCTTAAGTGGCGAGTAAATTGCGAACAAGTTGCTTTTGTAGGAGCTAGTCAGCGAGGTCTTGATGGACTTATTCTTGAATGTTTATTTCCGAGAGCAATGATTGATCAGCTACTGACAATACTTTTAAAAAGCCGTCGGTTAGTTCTGTTTGGCGCTACCGGAATTGGAAAGTCAAATCTTGCCAGACAACTGGCAAGGTACCTGAGCATCCGAATCGGAGCGTCGTCGCAAGATGCAATTGTTGATGTTAAGATAGGCGAAGATGAACATGATAAAGCAATGGCTAAGGTGATCTCTTCTAAGCTTTTATTACTAGAATTTTTGAAGTTGAGAAAAATTTAACTTTAAATTTTTGGTTTTTAGGTTCAAAAACAGTTGGAGTCCCTGTTGCGACAGTCAAAAATGACGATTATTTTGATTGATAACATCCAACGTCACAAAATAGCTTTTCTGAGTTCTACATTTAGCAGTGTAGAAACTCCTGCGAATGAGGGACCGTATATTATTTGCACTGTTAATCGTGCATCTCAGTTGCCAGAAATGCAGGTTAGTTTTCAGCTGGCATTTGGAGAAAAAGTTTACTTATGTTTAAACGTAATAGAGGATTATTTGAACGTTCTTCTTTGTTTACGAGTTTATCTTAAGGTACATCACGATTTTCGCATGTTCCTCTTGCCGAACAACATGGATGCTATAAAAGGTTATATGGGTCGGTTTTTACGAAGACGGATTTTGGAATGTGAATTTAGGGATTATGAGCGACCGTCTGCAGAAATACACAGGATTGTTGATTTCCTTCCCAACGTTTTGGCTGCTGTTAATGCGGTTAGTCAAACTTTTATTTGTCTTTACTGGGTACAGTTTTGTGTAAAGTCCTAATTTTTTGTAATTGCAGTTCATCGAGAAATCTAATTCGAGGGATGTAACAATTGGATCGCGAGTCTTTCTTCAATGTCCACTAAATGCTGATAAGTCTCGGGAATGGTTTATAAAGTTGTGGAACCAAATGATTATACCTTACATGGTAAAAGTGGCAAAAGAAGGTTCTGCTTTTCTTCTGTTTTTGAACAGTCTCGTGTTTATTCTTGTCTTTCTGCTACTGATATCGTACATAAGTTTTCAGGAGTAAAAGTCTTAGGAAGATGTGGTAGTTTTGAAGACCCAACCGATTTGGTATGTGAGCAGTGGCCATGGCTCAATGGCCCTCCAGCTGAGCAGGTGCTTCAGCGGTTGTCAATTAAGGAAAGCATTTCAAATCAATTTCCTACAACTCAGTTTGACCCATTAGAGGCATTAATGCGCATACAGTCGAATAATTCAAACCCTCAACAGGAGGTCGCCTAAGCCGTGCACAGTAGGGGGGATTGGTGTTTTTTGATAGTTATGTATTGAAATCTAGTTGATGTGAAGATTTCATTTTTGACAATTGAATTTCAACGCTCTATAACTACGGGTTATTTGTGTTGTTAACTATAATGGATTCTTACTATGTAATCCCCAAAAATATTAACATACTTTTGTTTTTGTTGGGTTTTTTAGTCATTCTGAATTATGAATCGAGTACCTGTGATGTTTTTAGTTCTAGTTATAGGTTCTAGTTTCGTTGCACTTTTTCTTTTGTAGCTTAATTTTCCGGCTTATAAGTGTTGTTTTTGTTGTTTAATTGTTGTGAACAAATTTTCCTGCTGATATTTTGTACTCAGAAGAAGCTAGCAGTTATGTGGTGTGTAATTTTTCTAGCAGAGGTCGTAAAGGAACTTGTTAATTTATATTTAAGTATAGGGTCGGATGGCTCCCATATTTGTAATGAGCAGCGATATTTTAGAGGAATTTGTACATTCATGCCTGGTAAAAAAAATATTGTTATGTGCATTTAATTTTTTTATTTTGGATGATGGTGCTTGTCAAAAAATACATGTGTAGATCGCTGTTATGTTCTAATGCGACTGGTCACCAGTTCACTTTGCAAGAGTAAAAATCTTAAATCAGCTGTTTGGCTTTTGAGGCCGTTATTCAGTAAAATACAAAACTGCAGAGTTCTAGTTTGTTGTAATTTTTTTGCTTCGTACTTTTTTTTTTCGCTAGAATTTGTTTGCTGACGTTAGTGTTTTTGAAGGACTACCGAGCAGCCGGGTTTGCTTTTTTCATCAATGAGAGGCATGGGTAAAGTCTGGCGTTTTAAGGTTTACTGCTGCTGTCTACCAGGGCGGTTTTCTTACTGTCTGTGAAGTTCGTAACAGTCCCGGGTTTCAAATTCAAGACAGTTTTTATGTGGATTAGGGCCTACTTGAGGCGTTAATTTGTAGAGGTTGTTGCATCTTTTAATGGGTGTGGACGAGTGTTGTGGATCGGCGTAGTCTGGTGTGCAAGGACCTCCAAAGGCATATAAGTAATATTTTGACTCACGAGGAGCAGTGGGCCAAAAGGATCAGAAGTGGTGCCTCGTATGGGTCTGAGTAGACAGCGGTAGCAAAAGAAGCTGCAATTTGTCTGTTTTGAGTTTAATGGTGTTGTGAATGTGGTTTAGTTTTGGGGGGACTGGTCTGTTGTATTGCTTCCTGATATTTGAGATAACGCTGTTTTTTTTTTGGTTTTTTTATTTATTATTCCGGTCTTATTTTTGGGCCATTGAGGAGGCTACGAAGACTGTTTAGAGGAAAAACTTAAACCCAGTCAAATGTGTCTGTTTGCGGCAGGCAAATACTGATTTTTATATAAGATGTTCTGAACCTGACAGATGTAGCGGCCATTTTCAAGTAAAGCATATGTTACTTCAATGTAATGTATTTTATAAGGAGATGAAAGTCTTGTTGTTCTGTGTCTTAACCGTTAAGAAATAGACCATTTACTGCTGTACAGTGGGACGTTTCTGAATGTGCCTGTTGTGCTGTTTTGGTTCTTTAATTTACTTAGTGCTAAAGAGTTAGTTACCTTATAAGCCAAGATATCAGTCTGTGATAACTGAGTTTATTTTTTTAATTTTTTGTTTCTCATAATCGTTTTCCTGATCAGCACTCTGTTCTGTCCTCATGTCGTTCCTTTTTTAAATTATATTTCTGCTTTGTTATGGTGTTTAGAGCTGGAGTGAAAATTTCCATGTAGCTGAAGAACCCTTAATTCGACTGCGAAATTGTCTTGTGGATTTAGGGTGTTGGTTTCTGGCAGCTTTGCGAGGAGTATGCTATATGAGAATTGGTTCGTTTTTCAATTTGGGGGTTTAGGGATTACAGGCGCTTAATTTGATTCACATGTATGATGTCTAACTTATTAATTGTCATTTCTCATCGTGCTTTGTAAGTTGCTGTTGTCTTTTATAAAGAAATAATGTGGAAAAAGTAGAAGAATTGTTTTTACAGCTATTCAGGTATCTGCTGGGTATTGTATTGGCAACATAACTGTATTGATATGTGGCAGTTAACAGTTATTGGTGAAAACAAGATTACAGGGTTGGAAGGTTTGGAGAAAGTTTCTCATTGGTTACGTTCAGCTTTGGCAAAAAATTCGTTGTTGCTCCCGAAGCTTATGTACAGTTATCTTCAGAGAAGTTTACTTGATAAAAGTAAATGAAAAGCTTCTTGCACGAGACATTCACCAACTTATTACTTATTGGTTACTTAAGGTTTTTTGGGTGTTTTTCTCTTTTTAAATTGTGTCAAATAGGTGGCTGCTGTAGAAACAAAACATTCAACGTAAAGAGCGAGGAAAAGCGCCGTTGAGATTCTGGAAATCCTGTTGATGATTTTTGTGAATATAAATGATTGCATTGTGTACATCTAGTTGTAATGTTGTTTAATAGTTGCATGCGCATGATGAGGATAGTAGACATTTGGGTACCTTTAAATGTACGTTGGAATTACGAAAAAATTGAAAGCTGAGCATTTGATAGAAATATTTTGAGAGAATTGTTTCAAGCTTATTTAGAAACCCAAAGAATTTTCATGTTATTTGAGGGCAGTTTAAAGGTTTGAAATTTTGGTGGTCCGACGGACACGGGAACGGTAACAGTGAACTCTGTTACTTATTTTTGAGGAAGTTTTAGAGGTTAAATTTCTTGTCTTTTTCGTTTATTGATAAAATTAAAAGTAGTACATGTGTGAATACGCGTAGTTGTTCATTTTCGGTTACGTAAGAAGCACTTTTTGTCTACATTCTTGATTAGATGAGAAGTTTTGCGTAATAAAGCAACAAAAATTGATTTTTATTTTGCAAACAAAGAATATCTGAAAATTGCTAAGTTGGTTACAAACTATGCACAACATGGGGGGTAGTAACAGAAGAGCTGGGAACAGAATGTAGAACAATAACTAGCTGTTAGGTGGAATAGGGGAGTTCTTTTATAGGCCTCTATTATACAAATGATTAGAAATGCTAAGTAAAGGTTAAGAATTTACATTTATCTTAAGGCAAGTATAATAATCTTTAGGAGAAAGTATATGCATTTGGGCAACATCATAAAGGATATTAACGCTTTTTTGTCATCATACATTCTGATTCCATACATTCTGATTCAGCAATGAAGCTGAAAAAAAATTTGTCAGCAGAACTGTAAAAGCAGCTAAACTAAGTGACCATAAAAAAGCTCTGTAGACGTACTTTCTGATTTTTTTTCTTTTGTCTATAACTGGCTCATCTGAAATAAAAGTTTTGTATTTCTCCCGGTGAAAAAATGTCGATAAAATGTATCTTTTTTTTTATTTCAAAAAACATTTTCTTGTAATAATTTTTGTTATAGTTTTTCTTATTCTACTACCTTTAACTTTTATGTTCTGCTCTATTAACTAGTTATCGTAAAAAACTTTCGTTTTTTGAGAAGAATAATTTTAATGTCTGGAAGACAGCATCAGATGAACAAAAAAAACTAGAACTTACTCAACACCAAGTAGTTTTCAGCAAAGTTAAGGTTTTTGTGAACACAAAAGGAAATATTTCTTTAGTTTTTTTTTTAGTTTCTTTAGTGTTGTTCAAATTTGTGCTAATCGGAGTTAAACTATCGCTCATTTTTTTTCCTGTTGTGTCTGAAGCTCAAAATCGGTCGAAGAGGCAACTTTATAAGTACTTTAAGAGTTGCGAGCAACAGTTTCTGTGCAGTTTAATTTGCAAATGTTACGTCGCAATTTTAGTAGTTACAAGAAAGAAAAAATTGTGTGTTGATACTGAAAAGATTGAGGAATTGCATGCAAAGATCATTTCTTGGTTAAATATTTAGCATTTCTGGTAGTTTTTCCAATTTTTCCCTAGCCTTATCTTTCTTCTTCTTTTTGCGGTTGTTGTTGTTCAATTA